GTTCAGCAATTTCGTCGAACTATAAATATAAATAAACTTACCATTTTTATTGTAATGTTTATTATGTGACTTAGAGTTTCTTGAGAGTAAAAGATCTGTCCAAGATATTTCTCGTATGGACATAAATGATGATGATCTTGAAATGCTATCATTATCATTACTTTGATTCTGGACACCTTCACTATCATGAGACATTTCTATTCTTATTCAATATATGATTAACTTAATTTAAAGCATAAGAATAACGTTGAACTAATGAAAATTATCACATAATCAACTAAACATGACAACTTGACATTAAGAAATAAATAAACCTTGAAGGAAGAGACACTAGATCTCCTACCTTGTGAAATAAACACAGACAGGTTTGACACATGCCATACAAATACAATGACAGTCATGACAGTCGACAGAACACGAGTTCTTATGGAACTGAAACAATGCTGCCAATGCAAGAGAAACAAATTATAAAAGTTTATCTTCAAACCGTTTTTGAAACATTTCGAAAAAATTCGCTAAAAATTTGATTTTTTTTTTACACATGTATATAATCTTTACTAGTTCGAAATTGATTTACGTAATGGGCTTCAATACATAGATAAACTAGTGGTGTATGGCATCGTAACCTTAGGGCAAATTGCTGAAACTTCCCGTATCGTTCGAGGAATATTTGATGTTTTCAAATAGATTATTATAAATTATGTAACACTTTCTAATATTTATAAGAATTATTTAAATTGAGTTGCAAATTTAAAATTATTTATTTAAAGTATATAAGTGATCGAGCTTTAAAATTCTAAAATTAAAATTTGAATTAATTTCGATATACAAAAACAAAATTAAAAAAATATATATATAAATGAATTTTTTTTCCAAAAGCAATTGTTTTGACAACACGAGAGAAAGTTTTTTGAAACATTCAAATCGGATGCTTAGTTCTCTCAAAAACTGCCCTTTTTTGAACATTTAGCTCTGTATCTTCAAAATGGCTAGACCTGCCTTTTTCAAAAACTAATCACCACTTCTCCCAATCATTACAAATTGAATGTTTTTTGGATCATTCAAATCGGATACTCCGTTCTCTCAATAACTCGATTTCTATTTTCTGCACTCTTTGCTCCGTATCTCCGTAACGCTGGACCTGCCTTTGCCAAAAACTAATCAGCACATCTTCCTATCAATAGGAATCAAATGTTTTTTGAACCATCCAAATCGGTTAATCCATGCGCCCGAAAACGTGGACGAAAAAATGCGAACATACAAAACACACACACACACACATACCATCCATTTTTTCTGAGGCATACAAAATGTACAATTTTCATAAAGTGATCAGGTACGCCACTGTAACTCCTGCAAAAAATAAATTAATAACGTTAATACCGATATAATTTCTAAAGTGCATTTCTCAGGGAATTCGTAAGTTTTGTTTAACTCTCAACGATCAAGCTGTTCTTCATGAACTTCAAGATTCAAACTTACAAAGTTTATTGCCATATTAAAATAATGGTTTATATTGCCATATTATATTAAGCAATTATTTGTATAAGAATGTAAAAAGTATTCATACATATTAACATATTTTTGCTTGATACCTATGATAATATCAATTTTCACTCGAAAAAATAAGAAAGAAGTCATACTAAAATCATTCTGAAATAGACTTAAAATTTACCTCAGCTCAAGGATCTGTTTTTGAGTGAACTCATACATTGTTAGTATAGTAAGTGGAATTCTCGCTTCAAACTATCAAAAATTTTGTAATAAATTCTGACATCTATCATAAGGCGAGAAAACTTTTAACATGATTTTATTCTTTTAAATACTGTATTTTAGTATCATTTATTATATTACATGTGCTTATTTAATATATTTACCAAAACATTATCATTCAAGTATTTAGGATATAGTGCAAAAATGCACCATGGAAACTAATAACTATATAAAATCATTAATAAAGAAAACAAACAACTAGTGTAGCTAACTATCTTTATAAAAACAGAACTAAATTATTCTAAATATAAAATTAATTACAGTCCCCAAATACCCTCCTAAAACATAAGGAGTTTCTGAAATTACTATGATACATTTTCATAGTTCAAATTATACACATGATATACATTGTTATGTGGGCCCTGGAAGCCCAAAACACATGTGCAGATTATCGCATTGAATATTTATGACAAAATATTCTAAAATGTCTTGCATGTAAAAATTGCCAGACATCTCTCTTAATTTGGAGTGCTTGACAAACTAATGGTCAAAGATCCCAAAACCGCCAAACATTATTAACCATATATAAAACAAATTTGGGGATGGAATAATATGGTCTTAGAATGTCGATTAGTTTGGGCTACAGAATTATTTTCAAAATAATATGCAAAAATTTAATTTAATAGCCACATACACGCACACACAGAATCTTTGATTTCATTGTTACAACTCGACAAATAATCTGATAATCATTTAAAAAATAGTCAGATAATCATATTTCACTTAAAATTAGTTTAAACAACATCGTATATTAAAGAATACCTATAGTATAAAGTACCCGTAAATAATCTGTTAGCCCAAGCTAGTGAGTATTCTTTGCTTTACTGCTAAAAAATTACACAAAATCTGGGGGCCCTGGAATCTTGCTTGATATATAACAACATTAGTAAAACAAAAATCATATGCAAAGACAAATAATATTTCAAATATTATTTAACAAATTTGTTCATTTTTTTACAGTATATTAAAGCAGTCTTCACATAAGAGTGATAGCATGTTATACCACATTTTTTCTCAGTTTCTTGAACATACAATGCACATTGTGAACTTCATGTGTTGTGGAATAAGGAATATTTATTTTTTAATAAAATAACGATTTGAATCTATCATATCAAAATAAAAAAATAACAATTTGTATTGTTTGTTTAGCAAGAAAATGATTGAATTTCTCTATTTCTGTAATCCCAACAAAGGCAACAATTTATTACTATAATAATTGTGCCCTTATTCCACTATATATGCAACACACAAACTCTATGTATAATTAGCCACATAGTACATACGTACTAGTGCTCATAAAGATAAAGTTCTAAATATTTATTTGATATATTTATAACATATTACTCAAATAAATCAAACTAAAATAAAATACTGCTAAAATATTACTTTCGTATTAAAATTGTGATCAATAATATCAATAGCACTATAAAAATTAGATATGATATATGTGGAAAATATTTTATAGCTGAGACATTTTAAATCATACTATTAATTATCAGAATTAATCTATCAATAGTAAAATTATGCATATAAATATGTTGTGATATAAATACATTGTAATATAAAATTAACCTAATAATCAAGATTATAAATCACCTTGTACATAAAAACATAAAAACAACAGTGCTTGACAAAATGAGTATTATTAATACAAATAATAATAAGTTAATAAATATAATAAAATTAATAATTTCTAGGCAATATAAAAAGTAATGATACATTAACTTCCCGAAGAAGAAGTTTGTTTTCATCAAAAAAACCCGATTTGCTAATTTTATGTTTTTTCAACGTATCAAGCCATTCTGAATCGAATGAGACCAAATTTGGAACAAGTATGTGTATGTTATGTGTGTGTGTAAACAGATTTCTTGCCGTAAACCGACGTTTACTCTAAAGTTCATGTAACTTGCCTCAAGGCAAAAAAAACAATACCAACTAGTTGCATTTTTAAAACAAATGGAAATTTGTTTGTCAAATAAATTAGCTTATGAAGAATTGGCATAAACAATATACAAGTAGTCAGTCACAGGCTCTTCCTGATTTACCTGTGAATTATTGCACAATTATTTTAAATACTTGTTCTTGTAATTGTTAATATTTTAAATTTATTAATATGTTGCAAATGAAAATTTTCTGTTTCAGTGAACTGTATTAAAAATAACAAAATTGGGTAAACAAAAAAAAAAAACTAATAATATTTGTTTTATAAGAAGTGCCCTGAGTGATTACATGTTTAAATTACAAATTTATAGTAGAGTTGATGTGCCCTGAGGATCTTGTTCAAAACAATTATTTAATTTTTTTTCATCCCATTCTATGTTCTACATAAAAATATTTTTTAACTTATATTCTACATACAAAAATGCTATACTTTCATGGTTTATTTTAAAAAATTGCTATGATATATAACTAGACATAGAACAGAATATTAATAAAATCCTGTAAATACTTTGTGTATAACTCTCGGATAGTATAAAAACATTAAGTGCAATAGTTACTACTAACATAGATAGCATATCCTTATGCGTTAATATTTTTATGTTGAAATTAATCAGATCAGAACATATAATTTTTTAAGTGACTAAATTAATACATAAGTTAATAATAATATAGTGCAATCATGTATTATCATATTCTTATTGGCCATTAAACCACAGAATAATAAACCTTCTATATATAAAAATATATATGATTTTAATAATAACACTATCAATAGTTTCATTAAACTAATGCTATTGATAATTATCAACCACTTTCATATATTATAATATTGAATAAATAATCACAGTAAACTTAGTAAAAAAAAATATGCTATAGACAGCATATATATATATATATATATATATATATATATATATACATATATATATATACATATATACATATATATATATATATACATATATATATATATATATATATATATATATATATATATATATATATATATATATATATATACATATATATATATGGGTATAAATGAATATATACACACATACATGTACATATGAATACATGTATAATGTATGTTTATATTATATATATATATATATATATATATATATATATAAACATGTATATTTACATATACAGATATATATCTCTATATATAAGAATAAATTACATATTAATGTCATTTAGCTTATTAATAAAAAAAAAAGTACCAATTACCGAGTGAGCTCAAATAAAATAAATTGCATAATATGTACACAATTTACCTCGGCAATATTAAAAAATTTCTACAATAATTTATATGTAAAAATTTCTCGTACCATATTCTGATACAACTCGTTCCTAGTACAAAAGCTCAAACAATGCTACCATAAATCATACGTTCGCATACAAATTGTTCGTTGGTTGTTGTGAGTATTATTTATTGCCTAATATATAACGCTTATGCAATAACCATTAGGAACTACTAGATGTCACTTATGATATGACCATCTAGATTGGAGTTATTATTGAGCTTTTCTGTTTTAATCTTCTCCCGTTTTAAATTAATTATTGTTATGTCAGGATGATTATCTAATAGTGTTGCTGATGATCTTACCTCACTACTTTCTGTAAAGTTCTTGGGAGAACTAGTTCGAATGGTAATGTTTTTGCTCAGTTTAACTTCGCGATCAGACTTATCAAGATCTTCTGTGGCAGAAGATTTTTTATCTGCCAAAGAAAATAAGGCAGGCATTGGGATTGCTTTATCCAAATTTTCACTCGATTCAGCATTGCTAACGGAATTATCCCAAGAGTCAACATGATTGTCTGGATCTTGAACCCAGTCTTTCACGGTATCTAAATAAGATGTAATACTAATAGGTGGTACATTCAACATTTCAGCTGCATGCGGCAATGATATAATTTTTCGTTGCAGCATTCCTAGTATCTCAGCTGGGCCTTGTTCACTCCACATGTCTCGTACTCTACAAAAAATAAAATTGATATGTAATGACTATTTTTGTAACAAATTTTACAATAAACTGAATCATAGAAATCTCAATTTCAAAAATCAACAAATAAACTTTTATGCATATTCATTAGATGTTCAACAATTTGAAAATTGTTACTAAATTACCTATAAGGATGCTTTAGACAACCATATGTATCTCTATATCTTCCATAAAGGGTACCATAAGAAACACCAAGAATTTCAGCAGCTTTTTTCATTTCTAAGTCTTTATTCTTTATAGCGTCCATTACCTTAATAAAAAATTGAATAAATTATTAAATTGTGAAGTATTATTAGCATATTATTTTACAAAATGTAATGTTTGAAATTCAAAAAAGGAAAATTTAATTTAACTTAATATTTTATTTTAAATTCAAATAAATTTATAATAAATAGAAAATATATCATTTTTTACTTTACAAATATGCAAGAAGCATATTAAATTTATTGAAATTTTGGAATTAACTACAATTTTTAATTGCATAAATATAATCTATATGTGAGTATGAAATATTTCACTAACTAAATATAAATTATTACTCAAAAAAGTTAAAGTTTTCAATCTTGTAATTAAAATTGAGAACATTCATTTATGGTATAATAACAATACAAGCTATAAGAATGCTTGCATATTATTATAAAATCCTAAATAAAAAAAAAAAATTAATTTTTGATTAACCAGTTAACTATGATGCTCTTATCAAACATTGCACACAGTTTTGTGCCGTCCGAATGGAGACCATGACGAGACTATTCATCAACCACAGATTAAGATGCGCTGGTGAGATGTTGGATAAATTTTTTTTTACAAAATTCAAAAATTTTATTACTACATTTTGCTTCTTTGTTTATATAAACATGTATTACATACCTATTAAACTAAAAACGGATTAAAATTGTATACACATACTGTAAATAATGTAAGAATAGTGTTTGAAGAAAGGCAAAAGCTATTTTCAAAATAGATAGAAAAAAAGTTACCTAAATAGTAAAATCTTAATTCTTATTGATTAAGTCTAAACATTTTAACATTTCAGAACATATTTTGTTTTTTTTTTCAAAAATTGACACTGTTTTAGATTTTGCATGACAAATATACTCATAAATACTCAAAATTTTGCCAATTCTCCACAACAAATATATTTGTCAATTACAATTAACAGGTTGAATAATTGAAAAAATTAATGTAAAGTTGTTTGTTTAGAGTAAATTTTACATACATATTATTATTATCATACACTGGTAAAAAAACACAAAATCAAGTAAAAAATATATGCATATTGCAATAATTTCTTTTAAACAAAACAAATCAACTGATTCACATGTAATAAAAATTTAATTTAAAATAAAACAATGTAATAAAAGTGCTTCATACCCGTTTAGTAAAAGGTTCTTCCCAAAATTGTGGTCTTCTACCTCTTGTCAGGTAGTCATTCATTTTCACTACATCACTCCATTCGCTATCTAATAGAGAATCATTATTTTTACTACAGTCCACTTCTTCGTGTTTTATAATTCTGTTAAGATAATTGGGTACACTGGAAGAAGTATCTAAAGGATCTGTATCGACAGTGGGTTCCATGTATTCGTCATCCTCAAAAGTATCATTAGGTGTATCACTCTCTTTGAACACCTTAATTAAATCCTCAGTATATCCCTGGAAAATATATAAATCATCAGAAATGCTAAATGATGTATTAAATCATTACAACTATCATAGATCGCTCACACATCACATGAAACAGTTTTAAGATATGCTGCAAATTTTAAGAAATAAAGAAAGATATATTTTTTTTTATTAAATGTTATAGAAAAATGTATATATGTTATCAATTATGAATTAGTACTTGCACCTTCAATTTTTTAAATTCCTGAATGTTTCCTTAATGCTTGAGAGTAAATTTGGAAAAAGTATGTGTGTGTGTGTGCTTGCAAGCTGATTTTTTAACCTTTCGTGAAAGCATTCATTTTCGGTAAAGATCAATTATTTGTAGTTGTTAAAAGAAAATATTTCATGAATTTTTATCAGAACATTTTTATAGAAACTTTTTTGACTATAGAGATCATAGTTCATGGTCCTAAAGAACATACTAAAATATTATGACCCTACGACATTTAATTCCAAGAAAAATTTTTGTTCACATTTTCGCAAAAAATTTTGAACCAATTTGAAAGATCGTGCTGATTAGTTTCTGGCAAAGGTTGACCAGGCAGCGTTTTTTTGCATTTTTAATTAAACTTACAATGGCGAATATCCTGAAATATTATAGTCCTACAAAAAGTGATTGAATTATAAAAATTAATTAATGTTTGGAATAATAGGCCGCGCTTTTAGAAGGTGCAAGCTGGTGTTTGCGCACTAGAATTAATTAAATTATTAATATAATAAAAATTGCACTAATTCATTTTTAGTAAAAGCTAAAACTTTATTTTCGAAAGAAACACTTGAAAAGTTATCTAAATAGCTAAATCTCAATTATTATTGATAAAGTCGATTATTTGCACATGTAAGAAAGTTTTTGCAACTCAAGGCAATATGCCACTTACACCTGGTTTTATTTAATTGTAATTAAACATTATGTCCAAAAAGGGCCTAATTGCACTAAAGGCATAATATTGTCTTAGATATATAAAAAAAAATAGTTGATATACATGTTTATCATGTGCATTTCCATCCATCCACTGCGTCCCATCAGGTTCCATCGCCTCTTCAGTGTCATGCATCATCACAGTCACCAAATTTCTGCCCTCAAACTTAGAATCATCATATGCCCCACTAACTGATGTAATTTTGGGCCTAAAAAAAATGAAACTGTTTAATAATATATAAGGATTTGATTGTAGATATAATTAAAAATATAATTGCTATTCAAGACTCTACATTTTGTGTCCTTTACAACAAGAAAAAGACAGCTGTGGCAAAAAGCTGTTAACAAAATAACTGGCAACAAGATTAATTTCTATCATTTGCATATGCAAGTATAACAAATGTATAATTTAATTTGATAAATTAGATGTCCCTAATAGATTTGTTTCTATGTTAAGCAACTTACAGATCAGAATATTCTTCATCAATTGGAGGTCTACCCCGTTTGCGTTTCAAAGCAGGGGAACTATCTTGACTTTCACTAAGTTCAGCACTGACTATGGAAGAAGCATTTGCGACATGAGACATATTGTGCTTCATTTTTCTTTCAGGTTTGGCTTCATACTGAGATGATGATGCCTCATCACGCCAAGATACTTCAGCTAAGCCTTTTATATGTAAATCTTCAGCAGTTTTAAGTAAAGATGCCAAATTACACTGAAAGAGATAAAAAATATTAAAATACCTAGTACATATCAGTAAAGAATATACAACAAGATATTTTATGGATTTACAACGATTTTATAAGATGTAATATTAAACATATAGATTTATTTTAACAACCCATAATTTACTTATAGTAGCCTGAGCTTCGACCACATTAATATATATGTGTAATTGTTGAAATAAATTTATGACATCTGCCAAACTAAAAATGGTGACCACAATGTGTTTATAAAAAATACAAAAAAAAATAAAGAGAAAAACCAGTAATAATCCGATTCATGTTATTTTTTTTAAATAATATTCTTTAGGCTCGACTAGGGTGTAAATTCGTACAAATGCAACGGAAATAGCGTTACGCCCGAACTGTACGTCATTCGCTCTCGATGAAATCATTTCAATATGGGTCGATTGTGATTAGGCGTCGTGTATGTGAATAGAGATCTGTCGTACCGATATCAACAAGGAAATCGGATTAGATTCATATTACTGATGAACATTATTGAAAATTGTTATATGATGTATTTATTTTTACTTAACTTAAAAATGCTACTTTGTACAGTAGCAAATAAGTTTTACTTCAATCGCGTGTGAATCTTACGCGCACTCTTTTTTATTATATTAATTAGACCTTAACAGAGAAGTAAAAATACAAAATATTTTATATAACTGTAATAAATAATTTATTGTGTAACTTACTGTTTTTTGGTATGCTTATTTGCATAAAAAAGTAACCTAAACAAAAAGTTATATTGGAGTATCAATTCAAAGCGCAACAATAAAAATCAATCTTACATGTTTTAGAACTTGAGAAAACTAATACTTTTTTTTTACAATCATATATGAGAATTCTTTTAATTCTTATCATATAAACTAATACTGATATGATACAAATAGTACCACAGCTACATAGTACAATTTCATTTAAAAAAAAAGCTAATCATTGTTGTGAAAATTATTTTTAAGAATAAAGTTGTTGAAAAATTTATGTGTATTGAATTTCAAACACTTACTATACATCATTAGAAAGTAGTCATTGGGAAAAAACCTTTAGCACACCAATTAGCAGGTTAGCATTGTACATAAATATAATTATAAAATTTTCTATACTCAACTATCATAACATTACTCTACAAATCAATATATATATAATAATATCCTAGAAATACATTGCAGGGGTTGATGCATAATGACTATGAAAGTTCATAATTGTATAAAAATATAAATACACTGTTTAATTAGATCGAAGATAAAAATAAACAAAAATGCATTTACAAATATCAACCAACACAGTGCTGCAGATTTAGTTTCTGTCTGCAAGACAAATTTGGGTTCAAAAGTGGTCAATCTAACATCAAGCAGCAGTATATTCATTTCTTTCAACTTTGAGCTTTTAAAAATCTGTTTATTATTAATAATAGCAGCTCCGTCTAATGTGTGCCACACTGCATCAAGGGTTTGTTTTCAATTGACAAAATATTCTTGATCTATTATTCCAAGTGAAAATGAATATGACTGCTATGTGATGTGAAATTGTTCAGTAAAATCAGCCTCACTACAATAGCTACAATATATAATACAATTAGAGCTGTTGTTTTTTAAATTGGTATCGTTTAGCGCTCTTTTATTTCAACCCAGGTTTTGAAGGGATACATGAGGAAGATGTCGAAGAAATAATTCAAGAAGCAGCACAGTCTTTCTAATGGTGAGCTCAAGAAATTAACTAAACAAGAAGAAAACAAAAATGTTGACAGCAGTGATTCAACGAAAAAGCAAAAAGAACTTTGGATGGTGTTTGTAAAAAGGAGTTTGTTTACCGTAACTGAAATAATAGATCAATTCATTGAAAATTGATCCGAATTTTGACAAAAGCTCTAAAGTAAGGCGTGGTGTTAGAGACGCTCTATCCGTTTATAATGAGCTTTTATGAAAACAACGCAAAAGAAAAAGTAAAATAACTTTAGATGCTTTTGTCACAAAAAGGGGAAACAATAAAAACGTAGTCAATAACATAGTCAGAATGTTATTTTTTTTTTCAAGAATATTCATTCTGTTATTTATATTTTATCTTTATTTTTGCAAGAAATAATAATGTGGTATTAATTTGGGCTTTAAGTAATAAATGTTTGGTTTTATTTTTAGTAAAAATAACATAGTTTTTAAATTGAATACCAAACCAATTTTCTAGCCGACTTCCCCTAACCCCAATATTTCCATGTAAAGATAGCATCGTTTAACGCTGTTTCGCATTGCGCTTTACTTTGATGGAACCTATCCCCCGCGTTAAACGGGGTATTCCTGTATATAATACAAATTTTCTTTCTCTTCGTGTAATTAAAAAGCTTTGCATTACTTTAAAATTGTTCACAAATGACAAAAGACTTGCCTGATTTTGACGAGTATTCAATTAACCAAAAGCTAAAAATTAAAAGCAACTATGTGTAACAATAATAACTTCACTTACATGGTCAACATTGATTTCTCCCTTATACATGAAATCTACAAGGCATTTGACATCATCGAACTTGACATCCTTCATGATCAAAATAGGATCTTTCTCTCCATAGCTGGTTAGTATGCTATCAAAGAAAGTGCTACAGGCACTCAAGACCACTCGGTGTGCTTTCAATGTTCGTCCTTCACAAGCCAAAGTAACATCACAAAAGCACCCTCTCTCCAGCAATTGGCTGAACATGGTTTGCAGATTGTTGTGATGGTACTTCCATCGCAAACAGTATTGTTGGGGCAGCATAGTAATTGATTTAAATCTATGTAAGTTTCATACGTTTTATACTATGATTTGTAAATGACAGCATAAAAATGCATTATTTACATTTTCCTAAGTTAACCTATAAACTTATTTAATTTGAGGGACCAAACATTAGCGTTGCATACGCGTCAACACCGCAAAACACTTTTTGAGGAATGAACTGTAATCACTCACATACAAATTCATCAAAATTTTGGAGATCATATAAAAAAACTAAGCTTATAGTGTTCCATTTACTATATTAATATGTTTCATAAATTAAGTACGATTACATCCTTGGTTTGACAATACTAATGCAAATATTAGTATATTTATAATCAATACATAGTTTTATATGACATTTTCATAAACTGTCAAATATAGGTCATATACTAGCAATAACATGTACACTAATAACACAATTCAAGCCGACATTAAATAAAAATTACTCAACTTTTAATACTTAATCGGTGATTAACACTAAGCAGCAATTTTTTGACAGAATACTTTGTGAACTTCAAAATGGCTGCTCAAAAATATTACCCGTTTGGAAAATCCCAAATAAAAAAGTTGATTGGTTTCGGACCAATCATAAAACAGCTATGCTATAAAATAATTTTCTACGCGTATGATACAACTGTGGACGTTCGTCATAGCAAATAAAAAATCGTTAAACATTAAATAATGTAATAAATACTTGAAATTTATTCGATTATTTATTACAAAATATGTTCTAATATCTTATTTGAATTTATTACAACTTGCAAAATGCCTACGTTAAATTTTCTTTTCAAAAATAATGACAACTCCCATCGAAGGTTTTGTATTTTTTAAAGAATTTATATGAAGCACTTTCTTCACATTTTTTCTAGATTTAGTATGCCTCCTTTACAAAAATCAATAACTTGATTATGGAACAAAATTTTATATTGAAACTCAAAACTCGTTACAGGGGATTGAAATTAATTTTAAATATTACAATCTTTGGCAAATATTTTTTTTTAAATAATACGAAATAAGATTTCGGTTTATAAAGATATTATTTGATGAATTAATGTTTGCTTTAAATTCACTTCTTAATTGTGCCACCCATTGAAATTTAATTATAATTCATAAAAATTAATTTTAATTCCGTATATTCAACAAGAATTAATTTATAACTTTGCGTTAATTATTTTTGATTACTCGAAATTAGACATTAGTTTATTAAAAAAAATAATTTTTTTCTTAAGAATATTTTAATTCAATCTTATTTTTTACTAACTTATATTCTTGACCAACCGCTTTTTTTAAATCTTTAATTATTTAACGGTTTTGTTAATTAACTTCTATTCCAGATAAATATATCATTGAAAATAATTATTATTTAGATAATAAATAATTTATATTTTTAATGAAATAATTTATATTTTTAATTTTATAGTACAGAAATATTGAAACCAAATATTGAAAACATTATATACGATAAGCATTAGTAAAGTTTTCAGTCTTACGTTTCGAACCCCAACTTAATCCATCTTGTAGATTCATGACGTATGTATACAACTAAAACAGCACTAAAAAAACATTTATATTATTGAATACTTATCAACAACGTCATTAGAAAAACTTTATGGTGATCTATTTGCAGGTATTTGATAATCATTATTGAAATATGTATTTAAAAATGACCGGCATTCATTCGGCAAAAATTAGAGAATTCATGCAGTAAAAACTAGTGGTGTATGGCATCATGCCTTGAGGCAAATTGCTGCAACTTCCCGTGCCGAATTAAAATGTTGAAATTTCAATTATTTTTGATATGGTAAAAAGTTTGTTTTTATTCTTCCAAAAACAATCGTTTCCTCAACATAAGGAGAAACGGTGGTGACTAGTTTTTGGCAAAGGCAGGTCCAGCTGTTTTGAAAATACGGAGCAAATGGCAGTTTTTGAGAGAAATAAGCATCTGATTTGAATGATTCAAAAAAGCTTTCTGCCAGAAAGTTTTTCTGAATCATTCAAATCAGTTGCTTATTTCTCTCAAAAACTGCCATTTTATGCGTATTTTTTCCGTATCCAGAATGAAATGTGTAATATAAATTAAATTGAATTGATGCAATTACAGATGTTATAAGTTTGTTCGAAGGATATCAATTGCAAATTGCGTTGATTATTTTTTATAAAAAAATTATTTCCAAAATAAATAGTTGAAAATTTTATCGTCACAATTTGCTACGTCTCAATTCCTATTGATTTATTCGATTATTTATACATATATTATTAAGGCAAAATGTCACTTACAGTTAGTTGTTTCTGGACCGCAATCAAAATTTTGATATTCCACAAGCTACCTTGATGATTATTTTGCGATGATCTCAATCCAAATGTCCTATTCTAGTTTTTATTTTTTTTTATTAAAATGAAACTCAATGGTAGTCCTTTTTTAATTGTGATGAAGGTTTAACATTTTTGCAGTTCAATAGGACTATTTTCACTTGGAAATATAAAACAAACTTTCAAATATAATTAAACATTTACACAATACCATGACAACAAACAAACAAAAATTCATCGTCAGAACCACTATTACAAAAGCCTTATAATACTTTTATTTTACGCCATATAATTTTTTTTACCGGATTGGCTCTAATGACCAATTAATTAATTTTCATTATTCATTTCTAAGCCAAACTTTCCTCTTACATTAGTTACGTAGCTTCATGTTTAGCTGGAAAATGGTCCTTTCTTGCATGTTTTCAATATCTTGGCCTATATCATAAAATGACATGTTTGTTTTTTTTTAAAATCGACGTATAAATAACATCCTATAATTCTTTTCTGGGCGCCTGTGTTTTTTCTGGGAGCTGCTGGCGCATTGGTCTTGTAATTCCAAAATATGGGCACCTATTACATTATTTGAAAGATTCTTCATCATATTATGAAACAAAACTTCACATATTATAACTAATGTATATAAACTTAAATAAAAGATATTTACTTGTTTCATTATATTTATTTCAATAAACTATAAAACCCAAATACAATAATAAATTATTATTTTATATTTATATATTTATTTTTAAATATATGTACATATTCATATATACACATTTATTTTATATATATGCATATATATACACATTATACATATACGATATATATATATATATATATATATATATATATATATATTATACATACATATATATTATATATACATTCATACATATATATACATATGCATACATATATACACATACATATATGTTGATATATATATAATACATATACATACATATTCATATATATACAAGTGTGTATATATATACCTTATACTCTACCTATACACACACGGATATATGATATACATATAGACAAACATATGCATATGCATGTATACATACATACATACATACATACATACATATATATATATATATATATATATATATATATATATATGTTAAAATATTTTAATAATTTTGTTGTCGAAATATGTGAGATTAAAAAAATCTTTAGTTCAATACATCAAATAAAAATTGTAGAAATTTATCATATTTCTAATTTCCATACGTTTCTACACATTATCTTATGTCATCTTCAGTGGACTACAAATTAAAACAAAATATAAAATAACTAATTATCACAGTTTCATTGTTACATAGTTTAGTTAATTTATATTCTGTTTCAATTTGTAGTCCACTGAAGTGACATAAGATAATATGTGAAAACGCATGGAAGTAATAAAGAATTTTTAAATTCTACAAATTTTATTTAGTGTTTTGCCCTAAAGATTTAATTTCATATATACATACATATATAATATATATTCATATATTTGTGTTCTGTTAAAACATCCTTATTTTAAACAAATAGTTAATTACACAAAAATCTGTATTTGTTTATTTCATTCAGCAAACATATCAACTTGCAACCACATCTTCATATTTATATATTTATATATTTATATATTTATATATTTATATATATATATATATATATATATATATATAGTGATTGTTTCTTTTCCGAACAGTAAATCCAATAATAAAAAACAATTTGTTTTTTTGAAGATGTTCAATAACGACGTTTCGGAACTAGATACGTTCCATCATCAGGTTTATTCTGTCAAATACAATGTTTTTTAAAACTATTGATTAACATTAATTAATGATGGTCAATTACAGATTAATTAGAAAAAAATTTTTTATAAAGGAATGGATTATGTACCGGTGTAAAGAGTAATAAGAATTAATTAAAAAAGGTTTTATATAAAATTGAGAAGCAAAAATTATTTACCTGTAATAATTTATATATCCATATCACTAATATTATATTTTTTGTTAAAAACACTCGATTTTTTTTGGAAGATATTTGTAGATGTTACGACTACAAAAAATTTTAAATGTGTATGTTAAAATTTTTTTTTTTTCTAATTAATCTGTAATTGATGATGGTCAATTACAGATTAATTAGAAATTAATGATGGTCAATTACAGATTAATTAGAAAAAAAATTTTATAAAGGAATGAATTATGTACCGGTGTAAAGAGTAATAAGAATTAATTAAAAAAGGTTTTATATAAAATTGAGAAGCAAAAATTATTTACCTGTAATAATTTATATATCCATATCACTAATATTTTTTGTTAAAAACACTCGATTTTTTTTGGAAGATATTTGTAGATGTTACGATTACAAAAATTTTTAAATGTGTATGTTAAAATTTTTTTTTTCTAATTAATCTGTAATTGACCATCATTAATTAATGTTAGTCAATAGTTTTAAAAAACATTGTATTTGACAGAACCTGTTTCATCATATGAATTCAATAAACCTGATGATGGAACGTATCTAGTTCCGAAACGTCGTTATTAAACATCTTCAAAAAACAAATTGTTTTTTATTATTGGATTTACTGTTCGGAAAAGAAACAATCAATATATTGAAAAAATCCAGAACTTATTTATTGATATATATATATATATATATATATATATATATATATATTCATATATATCATAAATATAGACATAAACACAATATGGCCAAAATCAAACACTAATAAAATGGTTAGTTATGTATGTTCTCATTTTTTAAAAAAAAACTCAAAACATATCCATGTAAAATAATCATTGTTCAATAATCTTAACAGTCGTGGTCTTGATATCTGTTACAGTCAAAATAAATCACTAACAGTAATAAATATACTTACTGGAGTCCAGACGCCTTGATATTGATGAAAAAAAAAACCTTTTCTTCTCGAATTAATGAATTATTATTAGAAAGTATGAAAAACTAACGTAATAAATACATGTTTAAGCGTGCATATGTATACACATATATCCGTGATATCATTTGAAAATGTACTTTGCACAATTAAAAATTTAAATAACATAATCAACCTCCCGTATCGTTTATTCTCTACCGGAATGAGCATCTGTCGAAGTGATACCTTCGACCAGCGAGCTGCGCCTCTCGGCGCGCGGGGCGTCTGCCTGCGGGTCAGTCGCTCCCATCGCTAGCTGAGAGACGATCCCTGAGTTGGCCGCAGCGTGGGCTGCCGGCGTCGGCACGCCGCGATGGGCGCGCGTGTTCAATAAGATCTGGCGCAACTGAGACTGCTGCATTATCACGGGCAATTCGTAATGGTGAAAGAAATACACCATCGAGTGCTGCAATACAATTGCGATATAGACATATAGACATATAGACATTATTTAAGCGGGTTGGTAATTAGAGATACTTGTTCTATCTAAAACTACAGATCTGTTCATCATTTTAACACTAATAGTGCAGTAAACGGAGAGGAAAAAAGGGTATAACCTCTGAATTTTTTTACTGTGCTCCGAATTGAATGAAATTTTGGAATTAGGTTCATCTTACCCTCAAGTTCAAAAGTGAAAACAATTCGGGTTGCGCTATCACCCCCCGGGGGAATGACCCCCCTTCTAAATTGTGTAATTACATTTTTTCAAAATAACGTTGGAAATCGATAGAAGAACTAATTATGTACTTTTTTTCAATTTGCGCGGCCGCGCAGTCTTTAAACATTCATAACTCTGTCAATTTTTGTGTGAAAGAAAAATAATAAAAAACAATAATAAGCCAGAAAGATCCCTTTGATTTTGATCTATATGCTTTTATACGTATCTTTTATTCTTTTTGAGATATAATGAAAATAATTTCGATTTTAAAAAAAAATTGAAAAAAAAAAGTTTTTATAAAAGCGTGAGTTTTCTGAAAATAGCTTGTACTAAAGTAGTAAATCCGCTAGAATCCATCAAGATGTCTATAATGAAGTGAATTCTAGATGGAATGTGAATTACTTTAATTCTGGTGGAAATGGCGCTCATTAAACCATATGATTTAAAAGAAAAAAACTTCGTATATGCTTCTTATTTGCATGATAGCTCACTCACTTTACACGCAAAAAACTTGTAACAGCACTCATTTTAAAGCTTATGTTGAGCATAACTTGACCAATTTCACCGAAATGCATAAAATGTAAAACCTCGACACTAGATGGCTTTAAATACAACAATTAAATTTTGAACGAAATAAAAAACGATTTCGCTCTTTCAAATCTTGCTTAATATTTTTCCTAGAACACTTTATGTAATACCGATTTATTAAGATTTTTATTGACATTATTTTGTTCATTACATGATTTTCGTTAGAAGGTATATTTTAGGAGATATTTGCAAAAAAACGAAGAAAAACGCCAAAAATATATGAATCTTTAGTGGCCAGTAACTTGAAAAGTATTAGTTTTTTTGAAAAACTATAAAAGACATTTTTTTCTTATAATTAGTTCTTTTATCGATTTCCGACGTTATTTTGAAAAAATGTAATTACACAATTTAGAAGGGGGGTCATCCCTCCGGGGGGTGATAGCGCAACCCGAATTGTTTTCACTTTTAAACTTGAGGGTAAGATGAACCTAATTCCAAAATTTCATTCAATTCGGAGCACAGTAAAAAAAAATTCAGACCCTAAACGCTCCGTTTACTGCACTATAAAGTTTAGTTAATAAAGTTAACTTAATTCTAAATTTGTCTGATGTATTTGGTATAATTTGTATAAATCTGCATCTATATTTCGATGAAAACAACTCTCCAAATAACATTATTTTCCAGCGGTCATTTTTAATCACTAAACCTACCAATGCCGGTCAAAATGACCGTTTCAAACATTGTGTATTAACTAGACATTTTTAAATCAAACTATATGACAATTCTTAAAACATACTAATAATATTTCTTCTTTCACTTTTTGATTCTAATTATATTTTCTGTTTTCCGAAAAAAATTGTTATGTGGCCTAACTACCGCGGTCGGTCAATTTGACCGCTGGACAGAAATGTTATTTGGAGAGATTGTTTTCATTGAAATATAGGTGCAGATTTATACAAATTATACCAAATAAACCAGGCAAATTTAGAATTAAGTTCTGGTCGGAGTGTGAAGTAAATAATAAATATATAATAAGTGAGTTTTCCTATTTGGGAAATGTCAAAAGAAGATATTGTTTAATTCTTCAATTGAATAGTTTGTTGTTCTAAAATTAATAAAATTAATAAATTCATTTTAAAGAAATTTATTTGAATCAAATTTAATTACGATCTCGGTGTATAAAAGAACACCGAAAAAATGCTTGTCCAAGTTTCAAACATTATCCAATAGAAATTCAAAAAAGCAGCAAACGTGTTCCAAAAACTATTAGATTTTATGGCATGGCAAAAATATGGGGTGAGAGCTATGAAATGTAACATTTTTTATTATTATTATTATTATTTTCTTTTTAATAGCAATCATAACCCAATAGTACTATAAGCTGTTGTGCTGATTTCACTTAATACTAGTCTGTTTGACAGATGGCAACCCAATCAGTTGTCACATCTCTATATGACATATTATTATCACAATTTCTGTAATAGAGCGAGTATTTTTATTGGTGCAGCAATGCCGAGCGAGGGCTATTTTCACTTGGTAACATATTATTATCAATATTTTCAAGTGAAAATCGTTGTCACTGCTGCCTGACAACAGGCTGCTCGAGGTGGGTATCGAACCCGGAACCTCTGATTCAGGTCCCATCGCTCTTAACCGCTTACCTACAGGCGAGCCCTATGAAATGTAACATGAAGTCGAAAACCTGTAGTTGACAACTTTAGGTATATTTCAACATTTTGATCCTTGATGGATAAGTGCGTAAAGTGTGCAGAGAAGGTCGACGAGTATGATCATTTTTAGGCACGAATTTTTGTTATAGTTATTATATATATTTTTTTTAATTCGAGATGCATATTCAAAATTTCAAAAAAATCAAGTTTTTATCAACACTGCCCATAAGTTTGGCTTTGTGTGGACGGAAAACTTTTGACGAAAATAATTGGTAAACTATGTGAGAAAAGTATATTATTTATGCGTATGGCATTCTGTATAAATATTTGATTTCATTTGTCTTTTTTTCTTATAATTTCTTCTAGAAATTATATAAACATAAATTTAGATGAAAGTTCATTAAAATTTCTTCATTTTATACACAGTAAACAATAAATCAATTACTATCTGAATTAAATAATAAAATACTTAACTTTATAATTGTGGGTCAATTTGACTGCGCGCGGTGGGTATAGGTATACACGAATTGTCAGTAAGTTTAGTGTTAAAATAATAGGATAGGGTGAGGCAACAGATGTCCTATGTGACTTAGAGCATTTATATTATGAAAACCAAACCCATATCACAACAAATAACATATATCAAACAAACAACCATGACTATGTCCAGTAAAAATCCCAGCTTTTTGTTTGAATTTCATATCAAATTCAAATTCATCATTCATCATTGTAGAAATGTGATTTTTTGCTGTTTTCCACAGAAAACCTGCGCAAATTAGGACAGCCACAAAGCAAGCACGTCCAATGTATATTTTTAATTTTAAAGGAATTTCACATAATATAGCTACATTATTCAATAAAAATATAAATTGTAAATAGCTTTGATCTAGTATTTCGTCAGAAATATTCATAAATATATTAATATTTATTAAATATCAGCAGAGTTAGAATACCTATTAATTTCATTTATCTCATGTAAAATTGCATTTTTCAACTCAAATTACTTTGTTATTCATTATTTTTTATTTTTACACCCTTACCCTGGGTAAAGGTTTATTTGATCCTTTTTACCCCACCCACGTGTAAGCTATTATAGTAAGGTGACCATACGAGCCGGTTTGGCCGGGACAGTCCCGGATTTCTTCCATGTGCCCCGGGTTTTCAAAAAGTATAGACTTAAATTGAATTTTCGCTTATTTGATAATAATATTACAAAAACCCCATCAAATATCTGAAAATGTTACGTACAAATAATATGCTCATATGAAACAATGCGTTATGAATAAAAATAATGCTGAAAACAAAATTCTGAAGGCGGATTAAAATTGCCTCTTATATTAATAATTTCGACAAAAAATAACAAAAATTATGAAAACTTTTTGACTGCTGTCCGGCATAAGTGCTATTTGTTTTATGATAATTATGAAAAAAAAATGAACAAAATTTTATAAAAAGTTTAAAAGCGAAAAATACAAGATGTAATGTAACATATAATCGAATAATAAAGTTCTTACTAAAAGTCAGTAATTGTAAAAATTGATTCATTTAAAACGAATTGATTTTTCGCATTGTTATTTAAAAATTTAAGTTTTGTTGCATACACCCCTTCTCCCTGTATTGTCCCAGATTACCATGACTAAAAATTACCGTCCCGGTTTTGACTTGAAAAAATATGGTCACCTTATATTATAGAGATTATATAAAAAAAAACTGTTGAATCTAACTTAAAATTAACAATACATCTTATAAAACAATTTAAAAAAATAACCCACCATACATGTTAAATAGATATTTTTAATTACATCTCATATGAATATGATAAGAAACTAATTATATCCTCGAAACGTAAATTAAACATAATTTAAAAAAAGGCTTTTAGACCTTGACGTCAAACCGAAACGGAGTGGTGGTAGTCCTTATGACCTTAACTGTCATGAAAAAAATCTGATAAAATTATCTTACGCTGTTTGGAAATTATGAGCTTTTAAGTGCAACCTAGATCTTTGGTGAAATTATGATCATTTTTCGGTTATTGTGGTAATTTTTTTCTAATTTTGTAATTAACCTTAATCGTGAATAACATTTCTAGGACCACAGTAAAAATAGTAACACAATTACCTCAAGCTTTTAAAAATTAAGACTTTTTGTTGAACTTTGAATTCAAAATTTTTGAGTCTACTAAAGTATACTAAAGTGTGTTAGCAAGTTTCATAAAAAATTGGCGCATTTGATCAGGATTGTAAAATGATAAAATACTTGATAATTTTGATATTGAAATTTTTAGTAAAAAAATACAAACCTAAAAATAACATGATAACGCGTTAGAGTGATAAGTCGCGGTGATATAAGTTTTTAATTCATAGTTCATAAGAAAGTCTTGATTCTCGAAAACTTGAGGCAATTGTGTTACTATTTTTTTACTGTAGTTTTAAAAATGTTATTCACGGCTACTGTTTCAAAGTTAATAAAAAAATGCATGTATATATGTACAGTGATACCTCGCATAACGTGCTTAGCTCTTTCCGAAAGAAAGTTTATTATGCGAAAAGTTCATAGAAATACATGGCAATAAAATTAATTCCTTCTGCAGTTTGAAATATGACCATAGAAAATAAATTATATTATACATGTAATTACATGTAATTAAAACCTTAAAAAAAACTAATTTACGAAATAAGTTAATTATGATTTATATTCAGAAGAAAGGTACTATTCATTTTTTGCCCTTGTAGCTTCTGAATTTAGAAACTGTCGATAGTTGTTTGTTTTACTCTCTTCTTCAAAACCTTCCCAAAATGATAGGCAAGCTTGCTATTATACAAATTGCTCAAAAAATTGATTTTCTTAGCCTCAGTCATGATTGAAAAGTGAACATTTGTTAGTTCTTACGCCATTTGAGCAAAAAGTAAAATAGTATGGAAGCACTAGAAGTCAGCTGATTGGCCCATTTTCCTCGGTTTCTTTTTGCCTCCTCCAAAATTTTCTCAAGACTTTTGAGGTGTGAATGTGGATTCAGTTTAGTGAAAACGTAGGGTATCGATATCTCAAAAATCAGTAAAGTTAAAAATTTAGCAATAATATTGGAAAGTAGAGAAAAAATATGAATAACCACCATCATCTTGGATTCTAACGACGTTCCTATCGGAGGAAAAATGGCAATGTTTGAAAACCTATACCAAAAGTATTTTCTTTCGTTGTTATTTGTTTCGGTTGTGAGCACTGTTGATTAATTTACGAGACCTTATTATAATTTTTAAGTAGGATTAATGAGTTAATTTTTTTGGACATCAAGGAACATTTCAATTCTGTCAGTAGTGAAAACAAACCATTCTTTAGTTTGAAATTAAAAAAAAATTACACGCTTTGCAACACATACAAAACATGCCCAATTGAACATAAAACTTGAAAGTACGCCCTAAACACAAGACCATCCTAAAATAGCGTCAGAAAACAATAATAATTTTGCTGTCTAATTTTCTAAGCTTTAATCAATTAAACCAATTCTCAAAGGCTTATAATATTTTATATTTTTTGACTATCAACTCTATAGCAATGCGAATATCTTCCCATAAACGATTTCTTCACCGAAGTTTCTACGTATTTTTTTGGCTCCATATATATATATATATATATATATATATATATATATATATATATTATTTAGTCGCTTTCAAAATTTCACAGATCATGATTTTTTCAAATCATTCTACAGATTACGATAAAATGTGCATGAAAAAAGCCACTTTAGCATATTTTCAATGATATATCGGCCAAATGACGATATATACTTTAAAATACTACTCTATTTGAATACTAATTTAACTAATTTATTTAAAAATAGAGTACGAGATACAAGACATATCTACTTAAAAAAGGGCTATATAAAAGGAGGTACAAATAGATCAAATACCAGGATGGGGCAACTTTTATATGAAGACGCGACCATTACTTTGAGTAATGTTTTTAAATCCATGCAGTTTATGCCAATATACAAAATTGTCAAAATACAAAAAATATTTATTCATTACCTGTATAAATAACCACGATGTGATGAGTGCCAAACTACTGTATTGCCCATTAAATCTATAGTGATAAGCATAGAACGAGAAGTGATACAAGTAGAAAAATCTGAAATGGAAACATAATTATTAGTTGCATATATCATTTTGCAAAATTTTCTGGAATTATGTAAATAAATAAAAACCAAGTAATTCTGAAAGTTAACGTGATTCAATTTAAAACAACTTTTCTCATATTATTTGAAACAAATTATAGAACAAACATATGTAATAAACAAATTTATATATACATATGCGGGTGCGTATGTTTGCGTATGTGAACGGACGCACGTCCGCTCCAATCCAATAACAAATAATTCACTATGATACATTAAAATTATAAACACATAAGAAGATAATACCGTTATTTATTTCTCATGCTCTTTTAGTAAATTAATGAGTAACTATAAAAAAAAACGAGTGCAACTGTTTAGAGTTATTATAATTATTTTTAGGCAAGACCTACGAGAAGTTTGAAAATTCTTTCTGTAAGTCTCAATAATTTTGTGTAGGCTATATGGGGGCGTCCGTTAATCACGATATGTGGCGATATGATTTTATTTGAAAACTTTTGGATTTTTTTTAAAAATCAGGTAAAAAATAAATACACGTGATATCTGACTATACCCCTCCGTCCCCACCCCCACGTAATATTTCGTGATTTTTTCTCAACCCCCCCCCCTCACCCTTTAATGTTTATATTAGAATTTTCTATTTTAACACTAAGATTAACTAAATCTAAGTATTTTTTAATCTTCATATTTTTTTCTCCAATTCAATTGTTTTAGTTTTTAATCAACTTCCCGAAGGAGAAGTTTAGATTTTCAACAAAAAATCCGATTTGCTAATTTTATGTTTTCTCGACGTTTCAAGCCATTCTGAATCGAATGAGACCAAATTTGGAAAAAGGATGTGTGTGTGAACAGATTTTTTGCCGTAAATCGACGTTTTCTCAAAAACGGCTGAACCGATTTCAAAAATTTAATAGCCATTCGATGTATCTCGATGAGACCCCTAGCGTTTCTCAGTTTTATGCGACGATCTTTGTAAGATTTCTTCCGAGAGAAATTAAGATTCCGAGCCGTTTCTTTGTAAATCGGAGAAAGGTGGAAATTTTTTCGTCCACGTTTTACCCCGCAATTCTGAATAGATTTTGAAAATTCAAAAACTGTTCGAAAGATATTCGTTGGGAATCAACCTGATTAGTTTTTGGTAAAGATCAGCCGGGCCGGTTTCTGTTAAAAGTGTTAAAAAATTTTTTCGACGATTTTTATGATTTTTTTTGACGGTACATACCATAGTCTTATAGATTATACTAAAATATGACGGTTCTACGACAAGTCGTTTAATTTTAAAAATTTGTCAAAGTTTGCAAAAATTAGTATCGTTTTTTGGCGTTTGTCAAAATTAGGATTTTCATCGACAATTACTTGAAAACGCCTGAACCGATTTCAAAAATTTAAAAGTCAATCGATGTATTTAGATGTGGGTTATCTTTTCTCAGTTTTGTGCCGCAATCGGCCGAGCCGTTTCTGTGTAATTTGGGAAAAGGGTTAAACAGTTCGTCCACATTTAAGCTCATACTACCGAATCAATTTTAAAAAATCAAAAACTGTTCAAAAGGTATTAGTTGGGTATAAGGTATAATAATGATTAATTTTAGGTGAAAATCTACGCAGCCGTTTTCTTGTAATTAACTGTTGAAAACAACATTATGCTGATTTTTATGGAACTTTTTTTGAGGATATATATCATGATCTTATAGAACTTACTAAAATATTACGGCCTTACTACAATTTAATAGTTTAATTTTAAAAATTCATCAAAGTTTGAGAAATTAAGTAGTTTTTTGATGTTTATTAAAATTAAAATTAGATGATTTACTTGGTATAACGATAGAGTACTTGGTCTTAATAAACACATTAAACCATTAAAGTCCTGCGGAAACTGGTTCAATTATAAAAATTATTGATTTGTGAAAATTTGCTTTTAGAAAATACTCCGAGTTAACGTGTTCGTTCGTTTTCAATTATGTGTAATAAATCCACTCGGAATACTTTTACTCACTCATAAATTAATTTATATTTTACTGATTAAGTCGATTATTTACACATGTCAGGAAGTTCACGTAACTTGCCTCAAGGCAAAATACCAATACCAACTAGTTTTATTTTTAGTTTCCACTGAATGAAGGCTAGGATTATAGCCGAAACGTATGGATGTAAAATAAATGTTTGAAAGAAACTCATTTTTTCGGTGTTATGCCCGATTACTAGACTTTGTTAATACATATACTAATTAAAAGTAAATATATATATATATATATATATATATATATAATATGTAATATATATATATATATATATATATATATATATATATATATATATATTTAACATGGATGCATATTGTGTATGTATGTGCATATGAACATGTGTACATATATTAAATTTGAATTCAAACAGCCCGCGCTCTGGTGTCTCGCTTGGCAATAAATTATTTGACGTTTCACGAAAATAACCTCAAACGCGAAATGACAAAAATCACATCGTAACAAAAATAGCAGAAACCCAAATTACAACAAATATTTGAAATTATTTAATACACAATGTCACGAATAACAATTACGAAAGTGCCGTTCAGGAAATTGAACTTATTATTTCGTTCCTCAGAGTAAAGAAAAAAATGAGTTGTATAATAATGACTTAATCGCTACTTAAGCATTTAACAATGTCTAAATTTACAGGATATGCCAAGACTTAAAGTATATGAAATTTGGAACAAGCACACAACTTAGAACTGCTAGTAAAGATGAAAATGAAATTGATGTAAATAAGCCAGTTCCATTTAAAGACAGTGGAGCACACAGGTGGAAAGCAGAATATTCCCGAAGGGGCACTAATGCAGAACCTCGATTGTGGTACGAAGCGCACGTAGTTTCTTTAAGTTTAGCAGTGTTTTTATTATACTTTTGCGTATTTCGAGAGGAAAGTGACATTGATGAAGAACTAGGAAGATCCTTATATTCTAGAATTGATGGATTAGAAGAAGTACAACTACGATTAAGTTACAAATACAATTTAGAAAACGGACTTGATGTCAAAGACATAGAAAGAAGAATGCGTGAATTAGAAATGAACAAGGATTCGAAATAATATTTCTCATGTTTAATGTTGTAATTAGTATGGTAATAAAGTGATTAAATATAATTATGTATATATAGAAATCCCTAGACTTTCAAATTTAGTTTAGTTAAAAAATTTATTGAAATTAAAATGAAAATTGGCCAAATTATCTGTTATCTGCTATCTGTTAATCATGTTTAGAACGCTTACACATAATCACATATGTTCTTCTGAAAATACTGAACTACTTTCAAAACATGTATTACTACTAATAATTCTTGCACATGTTTGTAAGGTATAAGGTTGTTCGGGAAGTCACTTTATTTTTTTACCCCCAGAATTTAACTATATTTTTTTGAACCTAATATCACACTTAAGCCTTATAATTATTATATGATTTGAAAACTTATATTTTAAGGCTTGTGTGTAAAAAATTCTAATCAATTACATGTAGTAGTTTTTGGATGGTGCCACTTTAAATATGGAAAGAATTAAGCAGCATTTACGACATATTTTACTCTTTTGCTATAGAAAAAGTAAAAAAAAAAACGTTTAGGTCAAATTAAAATTGACCAATGTGTAAGGAAATGACGTGTTGATAGCACGACAGTGCCAAAATTAGTTTGCTAAATTTCATTATTGGTATTTTAATGTCCAAGATGCACCAAGTCCAAGAAGTATGGTTGAAGCTGATAAAGACGTGAGAAAGGCATTAGTTGATGCAAACCGATGAATAACAATACATAAGATCCCATTGAGTAAAAATTTATCAAATTTAACAGTTCATGACCACTCAAAAGGTCTGGAATTTCCCTCAAAACTCAGTGTATCGTTCTCATAGAAAGAAACGTGTGTCGTCGCACTGGGATCCGCGAATCACCTCTAAAAAATCTTGAAATTTATCAGGTTTTGAAGCAAATTGTCACTAGGAATGTCAAATGGAATGTAAAGAATACAATATACGCAAATGCTCATGAAACAAAAAAAAAAGAACCTGCTTAAAACAGATGCAAAGCTGAAATTTGCCAGAAAAGGATGATGCAGTATGTTTGGTAAGATTTGCTCATTTTTCAGCTTTTCCAAGATAACATAACGGTTAATTCAGATGCTTCATGTCATCAGGTGGATAATCTAAATGATATACTTCAATAGAAAAGGTCAGAATTAATCCACAAGCAAAGTATAATCCTGCATCAAGACGATGCAAGACCTCACATAAGTTTGGTCAATCTCCAGAAGCTTTTGAAGGTTGAATGGGACCTAATGACACATTCCTCACATTCTCTAGACCTGCCATCATCGGACTAATATTTGTTCCGGCCACTAAAAAAAAATTCAGGCGGTAAAACCTTTACCTCAAATCAGCCTGTCAAAATCCACTTTGATCAGTTTTTTGCCAATAGCGACCAAAACTTTTATGATTTCGGAATTATGCTAATACCAGAAATATGACAAAAGATGTTCGATCAAAACTGCCAATACATAATTTATTGAAGTAATTGTTAATTGTACGAAAATTACGTGCCAACAAAAACAAAGTTACTTTCCGAACAACCCAATAATTTATAAAATCAATATAGTAATCTTTGCAAGAAAAATTGATATAGTAATTCTTGCACTAGTATGTTTCATGCAGAGTTTAGTTGAATTTGGTTATAAGAATTATGTGTGCTGTGTATTTTGAAAATGGACGAATTCCGGTTTCCTTTGTTATTTTTATTAGTAAAACATTATAGATTGCTTATAATCCAAGTAAATACGAAAATTCTTCCAAGCAAATATGTTCTCGGAGATAGTTTAAAAATCAAATCGTGTAGTTTGAAAGTGGCCTAACTCCATTCATACATAAACAATCAAGATAATATGAACTATTATAATATTTACTATTGATAATGTTGCAAAGTATTTTTAAAAAAAGTAGTTTAAGTTCCATTTTTGGACAATTGTTTTAGTTGAATAACCAGTATGTTCAAATAAATATAAAACTTAAAATTTAATATTAAATTTTAAAAATGATTTCACCCATAGAGAGAAAAACATAACAAGACTAATTTAGTTCAGATAGTGTAAAAGAAATAGTAAGTAATGATTTAACAAAATTTAATGTCCTGAATTTATTACCGCAACTAGATAGACCAAAATAGTATAAAAATGTATTGACACCAACAAATAAAATTATCAGATGATTTACAACAGCAAAATTCAAGAACATAATAAACCTATTACAATATATACGACCGAAACATCATGATTATTTCAAATCCCTTTTACTGAATCTGGTTGTCAATGTTGCAAATAGCCTAACTCCATTCTTGATACGAAAATGCATATTATTGACTTAATAATTGCCACTATTTTAAAAGAAACTATAAGTTTTATAGATACACTTACAACTCATTAATAGATACACTTACAATACATTAATGCCCTATACATATATTTTTAAATTCATTGAAACCCTTAAACATATCTTGATTTTAAGATAAATGCAATTAAGCGACTTTCAAAATAAACAGTTAATGTATATAATAAATTGATATCTAAATAGTTGGTTTTATATAATTAAATTCCATTACAAAACAAACTTTACTAAATACATGCAAATAAATTTTAAATAGTCTTCAAACATAAATGGATAAAAAGTCACTTGATTTGATTTGAGTGTTGTAAACTGTTGGTTTTTGATAAGAACGGGTTCATTTGTTAATAAGTAAACAAATAGAAAAACTGATATAATAAAATTATCGAGATTCAAAATTAACTTGTAAAAATCACTTAGAACAATCTTAACTGTTTAATTAATGTTTTGTATATAGATCAGAACTATCTCTATGCTTGAAAACATTTTTAAAAACAGCTTGATATGATTTTTCTTGGAAAATTAATGTTGAATGAATCATTTTATCTATTATGTAAAATGAGAATGATTTTTAAATTTTGCTTATAGATCAAATAATAGAAACTCATTTAATAAAAATAATTTTCAAAAGTGAAATTCAAAGTTCTTCTTCAATCAACCACAAGAAAAGTAAATTATGAATGTCAATAACATGTAAAATATTTAAAAAAAAAATGGTCAAAATGAGTTATTCATTTATAATTATCTCATCATCAGATTTTGATTGAATTCTGAATAGCATTCATTTTTTTGCCAATACATATGCGCGATCCAAACAATAATACAAGATTCACAAATTGCTTATAAAATTTTCATTAAACAAATAATTTTAGTTGTTAAGGTCAGAATCATTTTTCTTAGTTTCATTTTTCAGAAATTTTAAAATATGCTATTTTATCCACCATAACAATAGTATGCTTAAAGATAAATATAAAAAAGAAACAAAAGATCTATCTTTAGAAGTTTTAGGCGGAGAGCTGCTGAATGGTGTTCCTGTAAGTCTAAATAAATTTGTACTGGTTTTCATTTTCAAATGCAGGAACAAAAATGATGTGCAGGGCTAAAACCTGCCAGGCAATAATTTTCATACGTGTCAAGCTAAGAATAACCAGTACAAAAATTTTAAGCATTACAGAAACACACCATTATTCAAAAGGTTCAGTACCTCTTGGTCGATTTTGGTATATAAAAATAGAATTATTCTTACCTAAGCCAATGTCGTTTAGTTACAGATGTATGACAGCATATAGCATCATACTGGTCGGCTACCCAAACAATGAGGATTATGTAAAATGCCGTTGTAGTGTCATTAAAGAATTCAGACATAACTGCCTCCATTCCTGAAATGAATTAACAAAATTCAAAGAAGTGTTCAAATAAAACATATTTAAACAAATTTATATAAATAACAATACATTAACAAGTATCAAGGATTGTTTTATGTTTGGTATTCAGTTCTAATTCAGCTCTTCTAAGAATTTAAATCAGCAAAATTGTATAACATTATTTGTTTTAATGTAGAAAGTTTAACTGGCCATGGTTTACATGTGCTATTTCTTCACACAAATTTTGTAAATATTTATTACTACTATATAACTATACTGCTACATATTTATATGAGGACATGATTACTTTTAATTTATTTTCTATTTGAAATACATCACATAAGTAAAGAGGAACTATAATAAATTGACTATAAAGAATATTGAAGTTCATTTCCAACCAGAAATTGAACTGAATACTCAGTTAAAATTAACAATTATAAAATTAATTAAAGTGATTATAAAACAACCAAAATAAGTGAAACATTGCGATTGAAAACTTACCAACAAGAGCTAAAATAACTGTAAGCAATGGAGCAGCCGGAAATGTTACGGACACATTGAACTCCAACATTTGTAGAAGGTCAACTGAAAAAAGTAAAGAAAATATTGATACATAAATTAAAACAAAATATATAATTCATTGATTAATATTCACTCATTCATTTCACAAAAAAATATTATGCAAATATGAATTATTTTGTAAAAGTTATTCAAAGCTATCATTTTTTTTTAATATACACATAAAGCAAATGCATTAAAATAAATAAATAAAACTTACCAATAAATACAAATATCTGGTGATGAGAATATCGCAATAACATTGATATAGATACGGTCTGAAAATAAAAAATTGCACAATCAATTAAGTTTAAATCTGATTTGTTTGTGTATGGATCTTGTATAAAACCATAAAAATAATCTTTATTAATACTACAATAAAACGATATTTAGTTAAGAAAAGAAATCTAAAATTTTGTTCAATAAACAGAACTACACCAAACAAATGTAGAAGCACTAAGGAGAGTGGGAGATGAAAGAAGACTACTGAGCATAATTGTAAAAAACATAGGAAACTGAATCATATCCTTATTGCAAATAACTAATAATTCACAAAAATGCACTTTTCTATGTTTTTGTATTTTTTTGGACCAACATCATTCATTTAATACTTTTATAATACGTAATTAAAAAATGTATACAGACCTAAATTTTCACCCTCCTTCCACAAACCTCTATTTCGTAATAGTCATTTTAGTAATAAAATAATTATTAATCCCGCTTTCATTCAATGAATGTTTTTCACTAAATTACAAATAAGATTCTCTTAAACTTATGGAAATGCTTAAATATAGTTTTAAAAAAAACTATTTTTAATTATTGTTTGTCCACCCTTAACGTTTTTAAAATTTTGGGTCCAATATTCTTTATTTCATTTTTCAAAACAAAATTCAAAAACTCATAGGCACTAAATATTCACCCTCCTTCTACAAATCTCTATTTCATAATAGTCATATTATTAATAGAATAATTATTCCCCAATTTCAGTCTTTACAAAATTTTAATTCAGATTGACTTGAGCTTTTGGAAAAGCTTAAATTTATTTCCTCTATCCGCTGGAATATTTTCAATACAATTCTTCAATATTGGCAATGGAAAAGTTACCATTGATAAAACTAGATGCCTCAAATTGTCCATAGATTCTTGCATAATCTGATTCGCAAGATTATTGTACAAATATTTTCCTATGTGCACACACATAGTTTATGAATGGTTAATATTAAGTTAGTTTAATATTAGTTAATATTAAGAGCTGAAACTAGAGAATTTTTTTTATCAATTTGAAATCATTGGAGCCCTTGGGAGCAAGAAAATTCGAAAATGACCATATTAAGGACCACCCTAATATATTAGGTTGTCAAATATCTCCCTTCCGCTTTTTGCTCTTGGTTTATAATACAAAAAGGCGGAAGGGAGATATTTGACAACCTAATATATATACATACTCGTATATATAAACATTCGTAATATTGAAATTTTTTTTTTTAAAAAAAAAGAATAAATAAATGCAAGTAATACGCTATTTAAAAGCAAAGGTTCAATGCAAACAACTTGGTAAAAATGCCAGAAATGTGCTGATAAGAAGCAAGAGGTAATATTTTTCTTTATTTACTTTGGTTAGATAATCGTATGGTGTATTGAACATTCGAGTATAAACCTAGTGTGATTCATGGTTATCATTATGAGACAAACACTCAAATCACAAATTAAATAAAACCAAAATGATGAGTAACTTACAAAGACAAGCATTATAAAAAATGCTGCTAGATATGCTGATCTTCCCATCCACATGCTTACAAATCTATAGTGCTCTCCAGTGACTACATTTCTGTAAAATAATCATTGTTTATATTATTTCACTATAATTTGTTATTAAAATATATTATTCAATTATATTATAATAAAAATGCATTCAAAGAGCCATGTCTTATTTATCACCTTAAATATCCTTTATTATCTTCATGTTCGGCAAGTGCCTTAACACTGGCCATCAGCAAATCATCATAACCAAGAAATTCTTCCAGCAATATCCTACTGAAAGCGTCACCAAAACATTGGTCATTGACAGGATCAAGTAATACGCGTTTAACTGGCACTCCTAGACGTTGTCGGGCGGCTGTGCTCAATCTCAAAAATCCATATTCCAAAGAATACTCTACTATGTATTGATCCTCTGGCCAGTCTGGTGGTAATAATATGATTGAATCCATTTTATTTTCATAAGACAGTAAAATAATAAAAATAAGATATTTCAAATAATAAAACAGTCAAATCTTTAGTTTGAATTTCATGTTACAAAGTAAGGTGCCAAGATAGAGATAAGACAAGATTAATGGAATATTGAAATATATTATTTAAAAACATTCATAACATTATAAGAAATGCAGCAAAAAATTGTAGGCTTATCAGTGATATAATTTTGAGCTATATTATATTAAATATATATATATATTAATAAATACTTTCATAAAAATCTTAATGAAAAAGCTTCACATGAACTTATTTATGTTTAATAATAATATAATGTTAGCATATAGCTACAATGACAATAATTTATCACTAACCATTTTTTGTCACAATGTGCAATGAAGGATTTTCATTTGTTAATGGCGAATTGTCAATAACTTCGTCATGTTTCCCAAAATGACCCATAGTTTCATTTGCTAATAAAGTTTGCATAATTCCTTCATTAGCTCCATCCTCTGTTAACTCACTAGTAGGTAAATCTGGATTTATAGTTGATCTTGCAACTATTATATTGTAAAAATATGGTGCTTGTCTAATCTTAGAAGCATTATCTGAGTGAGATATAAATGCACTATGTGAATTTTGCTCCCGATCAACTTTTGTTGAAGATCTGCAAATAGTAATTTGTTCTAGCAATTTTATTTCAAAATTGTAATATTAAATAATAAATAAATAACATACTCCTGGATGGAATTAACACCATTAATAGCCAGTTCAGTCTCCTTTTGTTCATTATAAGCTTTTTGACTACTCATATCTCCACGAATTATTTCAACCCGTAAAATACCATCTCTTGGCCAGTCAGCCCGTACAGATTCTAAACATGTCGCAGGATGTCTTGAGAATGCAACATGAATGTAAACCAAAATAAAAAACGCCGTCAGCGCTTTTAATAGTATAAAAAATTCAATAAATCTTCGAACTGGCTTTGGCAGCATTTGAGCATAAGCCAAAGCAGCTCTGAAGAATAAGGCATGGAAAAGCCTATCACGAACATTAAATAACGGATTCTGATTATTATTATTCCGAGTTCTGTTTATATTGTTGACAATTGCTCCTCCAGGAACGATATTATTTTCAAGGTTTATTTCAGCAGGAATATCTGCATTATCATTCAAACCAGTCCTGTAATGATCAGAATTACTATTGCCTGTATCAGACATCCTTGGTAATTATTCCTTCTAATTTTCTTATAGACTTATATCTATATTGATTTTGAATTACCATCATTTGAGTCTAAAATGAAAATTTTATTGAAAAATACAGAATGACTTTGAACCGAATTAGCCAACAACATTGACATTATTAATGAATTTTTTGAAACTAAAACTCACTAAACAACAAATCGTTTATGTTGCTGAATAACAATGCATTTATTGGTCCTGCAACGAACAAATTTTATCACGGTAATTGCTAATTGCATTATAATTATCACAAACTGTTTCGATCCTATTTTTTATTCTTCAATTGAAACAAATCATAGATGACATAAGAAAATCTACGGTAGAAATTGTTCATTTGACAGTTCACTCAACAACAGAATGACATTGTGATACTTGATGATCCCCGCAGCAAGCGTTGACATTTCATGCTGCGTCCCCACTGCACGAATCCGTGCGGCGAATCCTGTTCGCGACGCACGCATGCGTTGGCTCTTGTGCGCGACGCACACTGCGAGCAATTTGATACATTTGAAATTTTTAGGATTCCATAATATTTTTTTTCTTGATACAGTTCAATTATAAGAAGTGTAAAGAAGTATAACATCTTCTCTACGCATATTCATTTTCAAAATTGAGGATTCGATGAAATATCTTAATGCCTTCACTGTACAATTGAACTTATACCGTAGCACAGATCAACGTTTACGTACAAGTTCAAAGAAATAACGTATACGAATACAGAGGCAGGCTGACCAACAATTATCAGTTTTGAATAAAAATTATTACTTCTGTTCTAAATATAAATACTTGTCAGAAAAGACTTTGAGCAAAAATTCAGTCTGCATATTAATAAGATTTTAAATGATATTTAGCGTAATTGCAAATAATACAATATTACCATTTTTTTTTTGAAACATTTAATTTATTTTGAATAATAAATATATGATACGTCATATAAGTAGTAAGAGTATATATATATATATATATATATATATATATATATACATGATAATATCATGATGATATAAAATTAACTCTGAAATATGATAAATAAAGTCTACCAAAATATATTTTAGTTGGATATACATATATTTCAACATATCTATAACTTAATTACCGATGTATTTCCTATACTAATAGTTAGATAAAATTATAATTAGTACATCAATTTTAATGACTGCTTACTTATTTACATTTTTGATCCGCGCTTTGACGCTAATCCATTAGTGTCGGTTCGGGTATTCTCGGCAGCCCGATGCGTCGGGTTGCTCGCGGCGGGAGCGAGCGCCGCGAACGCAAGCTATTGAAATTTTCGTGTCGCTTCGACCATGTTCGGCAGGGTACGTAATTCTAAAAATAACCCCCCCTCCCATTTTCAAACAAAAAAAGAAGAAAAAAGTGCGCTATGGACATGCGCAGTGGACAAATTTAAAGGGAATTCGTGCGTTCGCACAGTATCACTCCGCTGCGCAAATTTGTTCGTGACGCACCATTCGCCGCACGGATTCGTAACAGTGGAGACGCGGCATCACAAAGTGCAGGCTCACTCTTGCCAACATATTTCATGTTGACAAGAAGACACGACAACCGAAAATGATCGACAGATCGACTGAACATTTTTGAAAGAAATGTCGAATGACATTGTTGGTATCGCGCAGTTTTATTTTTCTCTGGACATAGTTGCCAATTTTACCCTTACCCTCCTTTATTTATCCACAGATAAATAAACATAATGCTCTTATCTATTGCGTTTGTCCTCTTAGACAATAATAATATAGACCGTTATGTTTAGAATTTCACTTTCTTTATATTTTCGTTCAGCGCTAGGGTTAGCTTTGCGCTAAAGCGTATCTGACTTGAATGATTCAAAAACCTTGTGGTGCATGGCATCGTGCCTTAAGGCAAATTGCTAAAACTTCCCGTACCGTAACGAAATGTTCGAGGAATTTTGAATGTTTTCAAATAGATTATAAATAAATATATTGTAACATTGTCTAATATTTATAAGAATTATATAAACTGAATTGCGAAGTTGAAATTATTTGTTTAAAGTATATTAGAACTATAGTCAGAATTAAAAATAAAATCTGAATTGTTTTCGATATACAAAAATTAAAAAAAAAAATGAAACAATTTTTTTTTTTCAAAATCAGTTATTTTGTTAAGACAAGCAGAAAGTTCTTTGAATCATTTAAATCGGACGCTTATTAGTTTCTCTCAAAAACTGCCATTTTTTACGCATTTAGCTCTGTATCTTCGAAATGGCTGGGCCTGCCTTTGCCAAAAACTAATAAACACTTTTCCCAATCATTACTAATTGAATGTTTTTTAGATCATTCAAATCGGATGCTCCGTTCCTCAAAAACTCGATTTCTATTTTCTGCACTGTTTGCTCTTTATCTCCGTAACTGCTGGACCTGCCTTTGCCAAAAAATAATCATCATATCTCCCTACCAATAGGAATTGAATGTTTTTGAACTATTCAAATCGGTTGATCCGTCCCAGACAGCACAAGACATGCCAGGGAATGTCCCACTTGTCCTCACAATCTCCTAATATCGCGATATCCTATGAATATCCTATGAATATGCAACGGGACGTCTCAAACCCAAAGGACTCGAGCAGGTATAACAAACGGTTCACGAACATGTCGCACTCATACGCGCACGGCTTGAGACCTCTAAACGCATATGTTTGTCCCTTTCTCTTTCGTCGCGTCGGCTGTAGGCTGTAGGCACGGAGCGTCCTTTAAGGTTTCAGCATTATCAATAGACGCTATATGTCATAGTTTTTGAGTAATTGAGTAATAATAGTGAAAATTTTATTTGTTTTATATAATTATATGAGCGTGTGTTATAAATAATTAATATTATTTATCAAAATACTCTAAAATTGAGTAATAATAGTGGAAATTTTATGTGTTCTATATAATTATATGTGCGTGTGTGTTACAAATATTGCAGCCGTGTTTGAAAGAGGATTGACAAAAAAGAGCATTGAAAGAGTTGGTTTTGAGGTTTGACTCGAACCATACTCAAAAGTTAAATTAAATATTTTTTGAAATGCTTTCTATTATGTTTGTTGGAGGAGCTTCAACTTGTGGATCAAAACACAATTGGTAATCAAAAGTTTATATAGATTTATTTTTATTTGTTAACTTTATCATATACTAAACAAACTTTCTCTTTAGATTTTGTATTTAGCCATCAAAGTCCAGCTATGAAAATCCATTTTTGATGATGGTTTGGCCAAAGAATTTTGCTAGGGACGAGGAAAGGGCAAAAATAAATTTTGTGATCTAGTGCCTTGCGATGTCATCACAGGTAATTTATATATCTTATACTTATGATGTGTTGTAAATTATGAATAAAACTAATATATAATTAATTCCAGGAATTGCTTTGAAAAATTTGCCGCATGAGACATAGTTTGCTGTTTTAGAGGCTGCAAAAAGCTGGCTGCGACGTGCCAATAAATATTATACAAGGTATTTCTGTGAGATGTGTACTATATGTTTCTCCTATTTACAAAAAAAATCATGATTATTGACTGGTTAGTTGTATCAATGTTAGTGCAAAATTTGTGCTGTGTACACATTTTTAGATGTAAAAAACCAAGTTTAATATTCACTCGTAATGACATCAAATTGTGTCGATATATTTGGAATTAGAGATTATTTTATAAATCTCTGTCTATTTTGATTGATGTATCGCTCTTAAAGAACTTACTCATATATATATATACATATATATGCATTTATTCATTTGTTTTCTATTTCAGGAGAGAAAATCAACCATAAACTAGGATTGAATGCCGAATTAATTATGTTTTTAATATTGTAAAATAAGTTATTTTGAATTAAAGTTGTATATATTAAATTTTGTTATAAAATTATCTCAGGATTTTGTTATTTTGTAATAAAAGTTTACTTTGTGAAATTGTGTTCTTTTATTTTATTTTTAATCCAAATTTATTTTTCATCTAAAAAGTAAAAAACAATTCCATAATTATATCCTATTCATGTCCGGTTTATGTCCGGAATATCCCGCGCGGGATATCCTACAGAACGTCCCATAGGTGCGACATATTAACATGTTTCGGATAAGATCAGGATAAGCGGGATATCCGTAAGGCTATCGCAGGGACAATGAATGTCCGCGCGTGGATATCCTGTGGACGTTTTCCAGGATGTCTTGTGTTGTCTGGGCGTGCGCCCGAAAACGTGACTGCAAATTTGTATCCATACATACATACATACACACACTCGCACACACACACATCCATTTTTTCTGAGGTATGCCAAAATGTTCAGAAACCTTCAAAACGTCGAGAAATGTAAAAATTTTCAATTTCGATTTTCGGCCCATTACAATAACATACCTCACGGGAAGTTAACAATATCAAAACAATATCGCATTGCGATTTAGGACATCGCCGCGCCGAAGTCATTTTTGTTGTATAAAACGTTTATTGAGCGGCTGAGTAATGTCACATTTGCGATTTTTGTCGCGACCTCATTAACACGTTTAATTGCATGTCGAACTGATATTGATGAAACATGAAAACAACGAATTAAATATTACTTTCTGTATCCATACATCCATAAATTTAGACTTTAATAATTTTTTAATTTATTAATGATAGACCATTTATTATGAAATTATATTTATTTGATCATAATATTTAAATACATGTTCTATATATAACATATATATGAGGTACTTAATACTAAATTTTAGTAATATAGGTACAAATTAAAAAAAAAAGAGTAATTTTATTATAAATAAATTAATCTAATAATACATCATTGTTGTCTATTGATTTCCGCTTCATAAATCTCTCATGCCGCTGTCGGGCATACCTCAACCAAGTTGAAACAATTTTTTTCAGCCCTTCTTCCGTCATTTTTGGGTGGATTCCCAATAGAACATCTATTTAAAATGTATCAATATTAATGTTATATTTATATAATATGGTGTAATGTATGATTTATTGATATTTACTTCTAAATAATCTTAAAATTTCTGTTTGGTGAAGTGCCACATTATTTTTATACCCAAACCACGAGCAGTGCATGGCAACTTCATTCGTTAAAACCCTTCTGCAAAAACTTTTAATCAGTTGCTTCGGTTTCTCTCCAAGTTTTATAATGAAGGTTTTCTAAAATAATCATGTATATGCAAAATTAGAGAGTGTGTGCGTATATGTAAAAATTTATAGTAGAACAACTTACAAATTCTGCACATAACTGAGAATCACTCTTGAGTCGCTCTTCTAGTGACTTAAGCTCTCCCAGTGATTTTATTGGCAACACGTAATCGAAAGAACTTGAATTATTGACGTCAAAATCAACAACCATATTCTTA